TGTGTGTGTGTGTGTGTGTGTGTGTGTGTGTGTGTGTAATTTGTACGAAATATATAGCACATAGATATATCTACATGTATCTCGTGCTTTTATTTCTAAAATTCTATAGTATATATGTATAAAATGTAAATTGTATATTAAATACGCGCTAACAGCGTTGTATAAGCACGTTTGAAAATGTCAAATAATATAATAAATATTTATAGACTTGCTGAAATGATCAATGATGTGTTCAGTCCAGTTATCTTCATTCAATTTTGCATCAGTATTTTGGTACTGTGTTCAGCTGCATATTATCTGTCTTCTAATATAACACTTCTAAACGTGATTAACTTCACAGCCTACGTATTTTGCTTGTTTGTGCAGATTTATGTTTATTGCTGGGCTGGCAACGAAGTTACACTTAAGGTAGTCGTGGTCTAAGGTAGTCCATAAAAATATATGTATATTTAGACAAAAATAATGTTTTGCAAGAGTTTTGCGACTAAGATTGATACAATCGCAGTTTCTAATAACAATTCAATTATTCTGATTATCATTATTTGTTTGCATAGGGTGTTGAATTAGGTGATGAGATATATCATATGGATTGGATATTAATGACAAAAAACGAACAACTGGATTTACTAATGATTATGAAGCGCAGCACAAAACCCATCAAATTCACTAGCAGTTTTTTAGTAACACTGTCTTTGGAATCTTATAGCAATGTCAGTATATAAAATTAACACTATAAATACTTTACCGACGATTAATTAATTAAGAGCATTTAATTTGTATTAAACTCATTTATTTTACTTTATAGCTTCTGAAAGCGACTTTCTCTGCATTTAATCTTTTGCAACAATTGTAAATGTATTATTTGTATCCTTTGATAGTACACTGTATGTATACAGTAATTATGAGTAAATAGTTTATTGCATAATGACATCTTGATATTTTTTTGACATGTATTTTTTCCAATTATGGCGTATGTACATTATTAACTAGATATGAAATTGAGATAATGATGGCTACATACTACACTGTTAAATCTATAGTGTCAAATTTAACTTAACGTGAATCGTTACCGCAGTCAGAAATAGTTCTTCGAAAAGACATCGATGTCATTACGATGGAAAACTTGTCGATTCGAAACTTGTATAGAAATTTCAACATTTGATAAAAAATTACGTATGTAGAGAGTGCAATGAGAGTTTGACACATTTTTAACATTTTTGGTATAAATTTGTGATATGTAATCTTATATTTTGAATATTTTCGTTCAAAGATCGAATCGACATTTTTTTCGATTTCATTTTGACAATTGCAATATCGTATCTCTAAAAGCTTTTTCAAAATTTTTCAAAATTTATAGATAATTATATAACTTTTTAGAAAATTGTGGAATTTTTTTATACGAATCGGAACATTTTTTACAATTGTCGATAAAATCTATATCTTTTCTTCTAGTAATTCTTTGTATCTTATTTTATTGTTCTACTCCTGCTGAATAACATTACTTTTATTTGTACTTTGTAGTTTATTTAATATAATCTTATTACTTCATTTTTGTATTGAGGAATTTCAGGAAATAATGCCTCTTACCATAAATGCTGATAACCTATTATCTGTATCTATATTACCTGTCTTTTACCATAATTAAATATAAAATCAAGGAAAATCATAGATTCTATCAAAATCTAGCTAGACTAATTCTAGCTTGAATCGATATCGAAATGATCTCGATTTTTAAATTAATGAAATTTAAATGTTGGTCTAACAAGTTTTCAATATCATTTGGAAATATAAAAATACTAGTGTCACTGCTACTGCAATAGTATTACTACTACGCAATAATGCTGAGCCAGTAGTGTTATTACTGCAGTATTACGATATATGACGTAACATAGACTTACTTCCAGTAATTGTAATATTTGGTATAAAAAATTTATTAGAGTTAAAAATAAATATATATATATATATA